AACATGTAACCATGAAAGTAGCTTGCAAATTGAATATTTTTTGCTTGCATAACTTCCTTTTTGAAACCATTTTAATATAAAATAAAACTTTTAATCAAGAAGTTTTGAACCGTGACAATAAATGTCGCCTTCACCATTATGACAATTAATCGCATGTTTTGGCAAGCGTGGGCAAACTTCTGATTGCAACTTCAAATTTTTACCATTGAAGAGGGATATTAATAAAAAAGGTCAATTAAAATCAGACTACTCTAATCATAATTATAAATTGAAGGTAGCGATTTTTGTTTCAATCAAAAGTTCTTTGTTTTGAAAAGGTATAAAGGTGCAATTTATTATCCAATTGGCAGAGTGAGCAACAAGCTGTAAATGATAGAGAGGCAAGTAGGGAAGTGTTTTGATTAGCATTTTTACATTTACACAATAGACGTTCACCCATTTGACCGTTATGCTCTGGTTGAGTGCTGAAGGAAGGCCGATGTCAGCTTGAGGTTGATTGATATCATCTGACCTTTAAAAATACGACTCACTCTGAACATGACTAAAAATGTTTCTCTTTCAGGATCACATTGCTGAGGTGCTTCAAAAGTGGGAGCAAATAGACGATGAAATATGGGCCAAGATGATCTTCATGAGTCGCAATCGACGAATAGCAAAGGCATACATTAGAGTGCAGCAGTTCATCATCAACGGATCAGAAGATGGATTTGATGGATTCAAACTAGGACTGAATGGATTCGATGACCCATTCAGAGATGCACAAACAGATAAGTTAATGGACTACATTGATGAGGTATTGTTCGGCTGTGTAAAAGAGTACTGTGCACTACATTACTAACAAGGCTGCTTTCACTTGCAGTGTCGCATTGGAATTGAGACCAATGGCAACATGGTACTGAAGCGACTAACCAACTACTCGGGAGTGTACGTCAAGTCCTTTCCATCTGACTTTTCAGAGTCTGTTGCCTCAAACAGTGTAATTCACTGTAATGGTGCGCTGGACGTCAACAAACCATATGTCATCTTTGACATGGCCAAATTTGAGGCAGCTATGGTGCGCGAGCTAAAGTCAGAGTACCCTGACCGAAGGAAGCTGGAGCAGAAGTGCATCGTGGTGCTTGCATTCGTCCGTAACCATCCCTCTTCAATACTCGACTCTCCCATTTACATCATGTTCATTAACATTGTCGCACTTGATTTGCTCAAATCAAAGATGAATCTTGGTAATGACAAATATTTCACAATTTCTAAAAAGAATGAAAACTAAGAGCATTTTATGTTTTCTTGTAGTGATCTACCAAAGCATCAGCCAACGAGAGCCCAGTCACCGACTGGCAAACACTCGTCCGTCTCGTGGCACCATTCACCACCCTCAGCCACATCACGGAAATGGAAATCACCACATGGCTTCCAGTCATCATAGCAATTATAATAATAACAACTCTCGAGTCAGCGGTCGAAATGAAACGCGCATCAGAGTTCCTGATTTTGTGTCCATCTTTAATGTCCAGCCTGGGCACAGTCCCCACGCGTCCGAGGATGACTTTGATGATGAGGACACCATCTACGGTCGAATAGGCGACCACTCCTACAGTGGATCGCGGCACAGAGGGGGCGTGTCAGATGATTACATAACCGCCAGCGACTACGAGTACCGCCGGTTTGGCCCACCGACCAATCGAAATTTTAGTCCAAAACTGCGCAACTTTGAGCACGAAAGCGGGAATTATGGCCCTAGTTTGGGTCTTTCCTGCCCTTCATATCCCTATTCAGCGTCAACTCGTTCCACCCGTCCTGGACCACTGCCACCTCTTCCTCGAGACAGTTTTCACCACGGCAATGCCGATTCGAGTGAACCACCGAAACTGCCACCTCGAGACAAGAAGAAACTATCTAAGCAGATAAATACTATCAAAAAGTCTCGTCATGCACCGATTGATGATCCCTACTCGGTGCAGATTCCCTCTCCTGACTATCTAATGGACGATAGGCAGGAAAGCTTTGCCAAAAACAGTGATAGTCAACGTAAGTCATGGAGCACGATGAAGGGCCACCAAACGGTGAATAGAATGGGAAAGTACTCTGATCAGGACAGAGACCACATTTATGATACGATGTCTAGAAGTAAATCCATGGTCATGCCTTTTGGTGGTAAGCAAAAGTTAAACTCAATCAAGATGACAGCCAGTACCATACATCTACCGCCAAAGAGTGCTCCGCAGCTCGGATACCGAGGTAAGCCTGGTGTCTGGTCACAGCAGACGGAACAATCAATCTAACATGACTCGAATTTCCATTTTAGAGCGAATGATTGACGAAGAGGATCCCTATTACAGCGGACTAGAGGCGCGAATTACCTCCAAGAAGCATCTCGATCCAAAAGCTACCTCTTCAAAGAAGGGACTTGGAGCAATGATGCGCAAAGTGCTGTCCTCAAATTACATAAACATCCTCACCTCCAAGCGGCACAAAGCGGCTTCCAAATCTAAATCAAAGCCAAACTCTAAATCGAGCATCGACTCTTCAACTGATTCCGATCCGTATGCGTCAATCAACGAAGTCTATGAACCAATTTACGGATACACTACCGGCCTAGGAAGCAGCAAAGGATATAGCAATCCTTTCTGGCCGACAATGACGAGAACAAGTAAAAAGCACTGATTGTAATTGTAACACTTATTTAATTGATTTGTATAAAAATTGTTTTGTGATTTACCCGTTGAATTTTGAAAATCAATAATAAATCTAGGCAACCATTTTTTTTGTATTGTTCACAAAGCCATGTGCAAAAGGTAAACCAGCACTTGAAAAGCTGTTGAATTAATGCCCAGTATTCAGTTTGCAAAAANGTATTGTTCACAAAGCCATGTGCGAAAGGTAAATCAGCACTTGAAAAGCTGTTGAATTAATGCCCAGTATTCAGTTTGCAAAAAAACCTTCTTTAATATACAAATAATACAGCTGAAGAAAAATAAATCTACATACATCTTGTTGATCACTTCAGTCCAATAACAATCAAGGAGATGTCATCCCTAAAGTTTCTCANCCTTCTTTAATATACAAATAATACAGCTGAAGAAAAATAAATCTACATACATCTTATTGTTCACTTCAGTCCAATAACAATCAAGGAGATGTCATCCCTAAAGTTTCTCACCACTGACTGTGGTAATGTCAAAAATCCCACCAGTTTGTCGTGTCTTTTTCGCTGCTGCTCATACTGATCCTCATGATGACTAAACTTTTCCTTTTCCTCTTCCTCATATGCTAATTCACCGTCTGAAGTGAGACCGCCCGCTGAGGTATCACTGAGAGCAGTGCGCAGTAGGTAGGTGCCGCAGTTGATGTCCTCAATGAGGTCGTCATCAGCGGTGATGCGCTCAAAGATGGCCGCAGGTGGGTCGGTCACCTTTTTCCTCAGTCGGTCGACAATCTTGCCGATAGTCAGCGGACTGTCATCATTGTCCGAGTCTTCTTCCAGATCTTTGCTGTCGCCATCTTTTGAGTCATCAAATTTAAATAAGTTTGCTGATGTGAAGGCATCGATTTGCTGTTGTACATTCTGGCGGTACCGATTAACTGCCTGTACCACCTTTCTCGCGCCTTCGAACTGCTCCCAGAGGCCATCCGTCGCGAGGATGATGAACCTGTCTAGTTGAATGGTGTCCTCTTCGCCTGCGCATTCGTCGGCATCCTCCACCAGACTTAGTTTGGTAATCTCCGGCTCGGCAGTGAGGTATGGCGGTGTTTTGTAATGAGTGGGTATAATATGCGACCCAAAAGCTCTAGTGATGCCTGCATTAGAATAGAATATGATCAGAATTCAGAAAAAGACATCAAGTACCAAACCCTTACCGAGCTGCTTCATCTTTTCGACTGACCACTTGAAGCTAAAGTCGCCAAAGGCTCGAAGCGGCATCAACGAGCCTAGGAGGCGGTTCTCGCGAATAATATAGTTCTGCTCATCTTTAGGGTGTTCAGACATGAGCCTGTTCAGCTCTTTAATGTTCTCTGAATTATGCTCAAAACTGAGCTCAGTTGACTTGAGTATCTTTCGGGTGATCGGCTTCACTTTTGAGTCTGGTGTAATTTAAAAAAAGTGTTAGTTTACATTCGAAAGGTAGAAAATGCCTCAGCCTGCTCCATACCTGACTCGGGAACTTCTGCTTTCAGTTCTGCCTGCTTCAGTGTTCCCATCACTGCCTTCGTGTCACCAGCACTGGCAATGAAGGCCTCATTCTTGTAGAGAATGACCACAGTGGCACAGCTACCCGAGATGGCCAGCGACAGGTAGTAGTGGAGTAAAACATTACTTGAGGTATTTAGTAGATTCGCTTGAATCTCACGACTTAGATCACGATCACAGGCAAGAAAGGCACGTCGCAGGGCTGATTCAATCTTGGCAGAGCCGTCGACATCGTCGGTAGTGGGCAAATCTTCGTAGTCAAGCTCCTCAATGGCGAACGCTTCGAGGGAGCGCCACTCAAACTCTTCAATTCGCGCTTGCAGCCTCTCAGCAATTGACTCCTCGTAAACGACATGGATATTGTGGTAGAAATCGGGCGGCGATTTAGTGTGGTCGCGGGCAATCTTTTGGAGAATGTCCACTGAGAAGGCTGGCTTTACTGAGGACGCAGCACCGGAGGATCGAAGTTCAAGAGCTCGCAAGGCAATGGCAATGTAGTGGAACAGTCGGCGAGAGATCAAATCAGCGCAGAGGCCGCCGCTGTGGCCGTCGAAAACTCCAAAAGCCATACAGTCGTCTTTTAGCTGTTCCGTTTCAGAAGAATCGTTGGAAAATATCTTCTCCAAGTTGAGCGTCGCCACTCTTAACCGGTCTTCAATAGGATGATTAGAGGCCAGTTGATTTGACTCGATGCTCGTCACCCAGGAATTGCTGATCAAACTGTACCGTTGAGGCTCTTGAGACCGTGTGGATGAACTTTTTTGTTGACTTTTCTTCGTTTTTGACTCTGGAACTTCGCGATCGAGGAAAGCATTTATGAAAACTTCGTTTTCTCGGGCAGTGACATTGTTAAAGATCAGTGACTCGTTTGTCCGAAGTATTCGAGTTACCTAAATTAAATTTGTTTTTAGAATGCATCAAGACAGGCGGCAGACACTTTGGTGCACTTACTTGATTTGAAGTCAAACTCGGTGGCGGTAAATCAGAGTGGCCTCCAATTGCACTGAAGTAAGATTCGATCTTATCGTTTGTTTTGAAGAACTGCTTACTCGACGAATGCCCACCTCCTGATGATACTGATGAAGTGCTGAAAGGTGATTGTGACAAGAAGAGACGAGCTGATTCATTAGCTGCACGAAGAAGCAGAGCTGCCGTACTAAGGCGAGTCGGACTGCCGCCGCGGATAATTGAGGTGTGATAACATCGACGTCGACTGTTGTTATTAATCTGGTGATCATCACGAAAAGTAATAGCCCTTGTCGCGGCGGCGATGGCCATCGTTGATGATCGAAGCACCTGCTCCAAAAGTGGCGCCGAGTAGCAGCATCGCCGAACGCGAAATGGAGCCGTCACCGAGCTGGAGAGAGCGCTTGAAGCCGCAGTCTTTGCAGTCGACTTTCCGAGAAGAGAGGGTAGCATTGAAAGTGCTGATGGGTAGTTTCGGTTCAGATAAACAGAGGTAAACAACAGACTTTCTCGGGCAACTGCCGCAGAAGACCGGAAGATCACAGTTGGTAAAAAGAGGGAGAGATGAGGATCACATCAGGGCAGGGTACTTTGTTGATGCTTCGAGTACCCAAAAAGTGGCCATACTTTTTGAAGGCCTACTTCTGCTGCTACAACTCTTCGTACTTTTACTCAATCTCCGGGTTGCGATTCTGGTCAACTTCAGAGCAGCAGGCAACGGTTTGCGTGCGGTTATTTTGCTGCCGCAACTTCGGTTTTCTTATTTGCCCTCAAATCGCTCTTTTTGGTTTCGGTAGAACGCGGATACTGCACTTGTTATTTGGGTGCTACAGTCCAACTTGCTATATTGGCGTGCTCATTAACGTCATTTACTGTTTGCTCTTTTATGGGCACAATCGCTTTCACGCTTCTACGGGGAACTTCTGATAAACTAGATTAGACGCAAAGTAGTCAAATTAAAGATATTCTGAAGAAGAAAAATGGTTTTTTGATGAATTTCAATATTTAAAAGTCATATTTCAAGAAAACAATTATTTTTAAGTGAAGCAAAGTAAGTGTGGATAGCTGAATCGTAGCAAGTTGAATCGTTGATTTTTCTAGATTCACTGTACTTTTTAAACATGCATTTTCCCACGTGCTTTTCAAGCTGCCTTCGCAGTCTGACTTTGTACAAGTAGATATTCAAATCAGGTTTTATTTCACAAAGTTGGTATTTGCAAGAGAAATATAAGGTTATGGTGAATAAGAATTATATATTAGAATACAAAAATATGATGTTTTAAAAACCATGCAAAAATTACAAACAACACCACCTGTTACAAATCACCAGTTTCATTTTTATCGGATTCCGAGGGTTTTTTGGCGTTCTGTTCAGATAAAATCTTTTTCTTTTCTTTTCGTTCCTTACGAAGGGCAGCCAGGACAGCCTTTCTCTCTTTGTTGGCTTCACTTTTCGGAGGAGGTGTAGGATCCCAGCAATTAGGGTCAGTCAACAAGGGTACCACGTTCTTCTCGTCCACATTCCAATTGTCAGTCAACTTGGAAAGCGTGCCCAGCCACTTGGGCATATAGTGGCCATGAAAGATGGATCCAGGATTATGTTCCAAAACAAATGGATCTTCAATCACTACAATCGATTCCTTAAAGGCCATATTCAAACCCTCAGTCTTTTTTTCAGCAAAAAGTTCCTCTTTAGTGATGAGTATTCCGAGTCGGGTGCTGATTGCCATCTTTGAATAGTCAAATTTGTGGTAAAAATGAAAAAACTCGGGGATAAGTTGTTCAGTCTTTTGAGTATTTTCTTGACACCCTACAGTTTTTCGAACGAAAGCGATGTCATCAGCAAATCCAAACTTCCAACCGTGAACAGTGGTCTGCTTAAACTTTTTCGGGTGATCAATGGCCAGCTTCTGAAGTAGGCTAATTGGTGGCAGAATCATTGGCTCTCGAGTTTGAAGAAAAAATATTATCAACAGCATGAAAGCATAACTGCTGAAACCTTCAGTACAGATCAGTACGTTTTTCTTTGCCCAGTACTTCAGCAGCAAAGCAATCTCGTAAAATCGACGATCATAAAGGGTGAGGAACTTTAACAAGCGAGANTTAGCATGAAAGCATAACTGCTGAAGCCTTCAGTACAGATCAGTACGTTTTTCTTTGCCCAGTACTTCAGCAGCAAAGCCATCTCGTAAAATCGACGATCATAAAGGGTGAGGAACTTTAACAAGCGAGAGTTGTGAATGCCGTAGGTCGATGTGACGCTAATGTCGCATTTGTTGAAAGCCAGCGGGCCATCGGTGTTGAAATTATCATTTTTCATTAGCCACTTTTTGACGTCCTTTTGAAAACACTGTTTAAAGTCAATCTTAATGATGGGGCATCGCTTGCTTGGCACGATAACATTTCTTGGCATGCCGCGACAGACGTCGAGCTTCATGGTAAGAATCGTTTTGACGATGTTGAGGATCAACAAAGAAGTCTCAAAGTCGAGACGATCCTCTTGATTGAGAACCTTATTGAACTGCAGTACAATGTCCAGGTCGGAATCAAAAGTGGCGAGACCATTAGAAAGAGAACCAAAGGGATGAACTTTGACGTTAAACGCTGCAATGGGCGAATCTTCAAGGGCAATACGAAGTGCATCGACGAAACGATTCAGGTTCTGAAAGCCCTCGTCGGAAAGACTGATTTCCTGAATGAAGTACTTTAATGTTTCTGAATCCGGTAGTTGGCAAACATGTCTGTGCAAATCCCTGAAAAGACAAATTTAGTTTACATAAACATGTTACAGTATTTACAATATTGGCAACTTACATGGGGTTTATCTGTTTGTAGGTAACCATGCGGAAATCTAAATCCTCCAGGGAAGCTGTCTGAGCCTGTCTAGGCTGATTTCGATTTGCCAAAACTTCATCCTTGATGCACAGCAATTTTCGCCTGAATCGCCAAATACTTGGTGGGTGTAAGTTCTGATAATGCTCAAGGACTCGTTCGTAGTTCTCCTTAACCTTTTTTGACAAATTCAGCTTAGAAATGACATTCAAAAGGCGGTCGCCGTAGAAGGCATAATCTTCCTGCCGTTTGTCGGCCAAATCAGTGTATGTACAATCGGGATCGGAAAGACGTTTCTGAAGATGGTTCATAAAACTGCAAATTTCATCGGCGAGAAATCGTTCATTGTGCTGCTTACTAACAAGGGCTTCGGCTGACATATGGGTGTTCTCAAAATACAGTCGCAAATCAGCCTCAGCCCGTCTTCGAGCAATCTTGTCGCGCAAACGCTGCTCCTTCAATGCCTTTTGTTGTTGAGCTTTCTCAATGTCGGTTTTATTAGACGGACCAGCTTTAGGAGTTTGTGGCAAAGCAGCTTGATCCTGTTTTACATGTCCATTTTTCGCTGGTTGCTGTTGATGTTGTTTGCTGTTCATTTTAACGGGCGATGATTTGGGTTTATCGCCATTTGTCACTGGACGTTGAAGAATGCGTATTTTTGGACTAGAATTGTCGCGTTTTTGCTGCGAAATAC